GCTTCTTACCACATAATCACTTGTTTTGCGTTTCGATGCTGCTTCAACCGAGATCTTCAATCCATAATCATTCGTCGTGTGCTCACTATCATTACCACTCTTCGTTGAACACGTTTGTGCTTCATCCCTCAAAATATTCAAAAATTAGAAAAGTAAACCAAAAAAGTGCACAGTTGATAAAATTATTAGCCATCAAAATATCAAACTCAAAAATTATTAGGATATCAAAAGATTCCTTAACTGTTTAAGTGATTGCGCTGAGTTAAAGTTTCTTCCTTGCACCGCTCCTGCAGCATAATCATACGAATAATTCAGATTTGTGCTCATTACAGGACTAGGTTCGGTACTGCTCTTCATTGTCTGCAATTGTCAAATGAACAATTCTACTTGAAAGTTTTTGCATTCACCACTTCTCACAAGAAATTTTCTGATGATTCTATCAAAGAGAAAAATTCTGTTGAACTGCAAATGAACATCGGAAAAATGGAATGCAAAAGATAGACAATCAACAAACTTACAATATTTTCACTCGACGATGTTGCTGCGGAATACGGCCGCAGTGGTGTGCTAATATTTGTCAATGTATCATAGACTTTGCTATCATTGAACTGAAATAATAACAAATGAAAATTCCAACGCGGGTTTTCCTCATGAGTAAAATCGAAAGTATTGAAAAAAAAACAGAGGATCCACAAAAAACAAAAAAGGTTAGCGAAATCAGACCTGATCATCTGTCGTGATACGATCATAGAGTGCATCGGCTAGCTGAACGCTTGATGTTGCAGCCTCTTGAGGTAGATTGAACTGCAATTTTTATCACTCGATTCATAACAAGAGCAACATCTTCAGAATAATTATGATCGAAGTATCAAAGAGAATCAAAAACACAACAGTGGACTCAGAAATAAAACAAACCAGAAACTCTTCATCTTCTAGTATAATTTGATTTTGAGACGGATCAATTTCTACATCGTCGAAAAACAAATTTTGCGAGTTCACACTGAAAATTAAACGAAATGTTATGATCAGATCGGAAACCGATGATTTTAATAGCGAATTTTCTTTCAATTTTATCCGTTCTGTTGAGAAAACGAGGCTGATTACCAGCTCATACCTACTTTGATGTGAGAAGAATATAAGAAAAAATATATTTTCAGCAATAAACCAATGACTGCTGTATTCCTTCAGTCATGGTTATGTCCATTACCAATATTATTAGCATTAGTATTACTGAAAAACAAGTGGATCATAATAAATCGAACATATGAGGATCTGATCTAACTTTCTTGAGATATCCGAGGCAGTCATCGCGGGTATGACTCGAGTTGGAGACGTGCACAGGAATTGTTCGATTTTTTGCGTTGGTAACGATAACGACAAAGGGTCATCGTCACTTCTACGTCGAGTTTCATCCGTGGCTGCCGATGAACTGGGTTGTGATGACTCCCAGATGATACCCTCATCCTCCTCATTATTGTTGTCACCCATCAGTACATAAATTGAGCTGCTGCTGAATATTTATTATTTTGCAAAATTAATTCCACGATCAGGCGGAAATTCAACCGAATTCGCCGACGAATGAAAGCTTTTCAGAATCGATAGAATAGAAGAATTATGTGCGGAATTATCATACTATCGAGCGTAACCTGATGTCACACCATTTAATGGGAACTTCAAGTGGTAGATAAACTTTAAAAAAAGTTGGAAAAAATTGGAAAGAATGTAAAAATTCTGCAAAAATTCCAGACCAGAGTGGATCGACCGATGTTCAAAATGTCATCGACACATTTCTTACCGGTTTGTGGCAAAATGACCGTTGCCTCGGCTAAGTTACAGATTAATTCATCAGAAAATCAGCTGATCGTATGATCCGTTGAAACTGAATTATTTACTCGATAAATTCCTTGGAATCTAAATTTTTGGAATTTTGTACTAACATCGAGCGGCAACCCTGGATTCGTATCTATGTTGTGGTGAGTATTACCGTCTAGATTTGTGGTTGGATCATGTAGAAAGGAGTCATACTGAGTGTCCACAAGTCACATGCGTTATATGCGCATGTCAGTGTTCGATCGCTCAAATCCGCTCACATCTGACCAATGAACACCTCTTCAAATGTCCAATCGAATCGTGCCACTTCATGACATCGGTCTTCGACGATCTCCAACTACACACCAGCTTACATCAACAGTATCCACCAAATCCTTCGAATGTGGTGTGTGCTTTAAATTTCTCGATATTCTACTGCTAAGTGAAATAAATAATGAAAACGCGACACAGCACACGGAAAGAAAACAGCAATCCCAGTGAAACGGAATGCATTCCGTTTTTCAAAAAAATTTGACAGTCTCAATTTGAATTTGTACAGTGCAACGCATTACCAGTTTGCTGTTACGATTGGTTATTATGGCACGATCATAACGATAAATAAAATTTTCATTTGGGAATGTGGATTGTCGGTTCCGGGCTG